AATTGCCTAGTGCGTAACATCTTTCCACAATCGTTGAAGCATTCGTTCTATGCTTTTAGAGCAAAGAATTACAAATAGACAATAAAAGCTACTGCTAATGCCAGTGGAAATTCTTTACTTTGCTTTATACCTTCCCACTTTCCTGATTTTGCGCGAGGCAGTTTTGAGAATACTTTGTTACTTGAGCCCACACAGCTTCTCACAATAGAGTATTTGTAAAAACGTTAGCGATTTTGCCAATGTCTGCCACTGCTCTCTGAACCAAGATGGTGCGTTGCATCCATCATTGAAGCAAGTGTTAATACAGCTAATATCTCTTCAATCGCTTAAGAAGCCGATTTTTGCTAACCCTCTCTCTCTTTTGGATCCCCATCCGCTGAAGATGTTGGAAATTACAAATCTAACCATCTTCCAGTAAATCTTCGCATGACAGAATCATCAATTACATCATAGTTTATTTAAGAAGAAAATCAGCGAGTCGAGATATCAGATGGATTCCATTTTTAGATTGAATCACAGCGTTTGATCCAGAATGATACTTTTTATTTTGTGATTGTGATACTCTTCTTGCTAACCTTAATCAAATATGATAGACTCCGAAACTCTATCCAGTGTAGCCAGTTTCTACCTTTTGTGTTACACTGTATCTGTGTTCGATCTTGTTAAACACTAAACAAACTGGCTATCTTCTCTAACTTCACTGGAATGCCTAACAGTTGTTTGAAGTAAAGTGCTTAAGTAGGGATCTTTATCCTGCATCACTGCGATAAAGTTATACTTTATCATTTGAAGGATTAATAAGATAAGTGAAGACTCTGTGTAACATCATTTGTCCTGCACTTTCACAATCAGTTCTTATTTTTATTAAAATATACAAAGACTAGCTAAATCCCTCAACTCTTGTGAGTTTCTTCATCTACAGGTTGCAACAGCGGAAAACCAGAGGTGGTAGAGTTTGCCCGAAACTCGCAGTTAATAATCAGCTCGCAGTCAATGCGTAGGCTCACCTTAAGATAACGGCCAAACTAGGAGGATAACTGAGGGGTGCCTGCAGAGAAATGACACATCGTAGCAAAATCACCGAAACTCAGGGGAATTGAACCCAAGACCAGCCTTTAACCCATGCCCATTAACGCTACTAGTCGTTCTTGTTTGACAAAGCATGTTTTTAGCCACTCGCGGACCATTTGCCTAGCTCAAATTGCGTCAACCTTCTAGCCCATGGTGTCCGATGCCCTAGTCGAGGAACAAGCGCCTATTCTGAAATGCGTCAGCCCCATTTTAGTTGGCTATAATAACGAACAAAAAGTCCTTTATAGAACGGTTGCGAAATGCGCAATGCTACCTGTGTCTCTCCACTCCCACGCCGCATCCGCCTAATTTGCAGTTAACTTGCATGCACCTTCAATGGCCAAATGGCCAACGGAGCTAACAGATTAGTGCGATATAACTAGGAAGTTGCTGCTGATGATTAAAAGGCATAACTTCTTTTGTA